AAATATGGGGGGGGACTGCTGGTTGAGTAAAATGGGGCCACCTTAGACAGCAGGTTCAGGCTGTCGTACCACCTCATCGAGTTCAGCAATGAAGTTTTTCAAGTCATCAAGGCATCGCTCACGGATCTCAATCAGGTTCTCTTTCAGTGGGTTCTGCAGGGGCTTTTCTAAGGTGGGTTCCTTGGCCACCAGCATCTTCACCACCATGCCAAACGTCTCACAGTCCTGACGATAGACCTATAAAACAGCCCAATGTTTGAAATTATAAAGCAGTAATATTGTCCAACATGTACAATGTGCACACAAATGTCATTGGCAATCCCCAATCACTGCATAACAGTGTATGTTCATGTCTAGTTACTTAGACCTCATCAAACAAGGTTCCTTAAAGTGTGTTAAATGTGGCACTGTAAAATGTGGTTTTCTTTTCCATTTAGCTTTCTAACCAACACAAAAACACATGCCTTGACAAGCTCAGACAACAATTTCTTGAGGATAATTCATCCTGGAGCTCACAATAAGATTTTTTTTTTCTGCTGAGCAAACCATTCAGATATGTATTTACCCTGTTAACATTTTCATTGGCCTAAAAAATAAATGAAAAGTTGCATTTAACATTACATTTTTAAGCAGCAAAGATGCTGCATTAATCTAATTGGAAACAATACACTCTGCTTGTGCTTTACTTTTCTGGCAAATACATTGTGTTGTCAATCACGACACAGTCTCAAGACCCATAGAACAGACCATGAAAGCATCTTAAATCTAACTATTTCTGTTCACAGAAGACATGGGGATGGAGAGCTGTTTTGTTTTGTATTTGGGAGAACATTCTGCCTTTCTGATCTGCCATCCAGACGATAGAACTAAGCCCCAAACCAAAACTCTCAGAGCTCAGTTCTGTTTACTGTGGTTGGATAATCAAACACTTCTGGACATCAAAGCAATGCTTCAGACCCAGGGGAGTCTGCATAACCTCTGCAATTACCTTCACTCACACACAGCCCTCAGGACATGTAACTTATAGCTGGAGATCATATCTTGAAATTGACTCTACAATTTACATCAGGAGACAGTGATAAACTAAGACTGTCACGACTAAACGATGGCACAGAGCAACACAATGCACCCAACCAAAACTGAAAGAAACTGATGGTTAAACATGTCACCAGTTTCCAAAATGGCCCTGACATTACATAACCATACAACAACATCTGGAAGTACTTAATATATAACAGGAACTGAAAACTTGGGGCATAATTAAACAAAAAAAGACAATGCATATCTTCCATGGTTCCTGCTACCTGCCCCCACTAGTCTGGAAAAGAAATGTGGCCACCCAACTAATTGCGCTGACTAATAATTTTTGCAGTGAGCTCCTCATTAGCTTCTAACATAAGGGCTTTTTCCCATGGCTGAGTCAAGTTCTAGTAAAATGAGATCACCTGGTTCCAGGAATCACCAAGGCCCACACACAAAGCCCAGAGTTCTTGTGTGAGAACTGCCTCTAAAAGTCATTAAGTCGAATAGGTTCAATGAGAAGACTCTAATAGTCAATTAGAACATTCCAGAATAGAATGGATAAATGATGTAGAAAGGAAGTACTCAGTAGCCTGAGGCTGCAGGTTAAGAGACCGCAGTTAAATAGTCAATCTGTGTGACTGCTTAAAATGCATTAACGCTCAGCAAATAAACCTGGTTGCTGAAGCCTTGTAGCCTACGTGCTATTTT